CCATTGGCCTAAATAACCAAAATAAAAAGAAGGCCCAAATTAATAAAATCAGAGATGAAAATAAGATGTTACAAATGATACAATAGACATAAAAAGAAATATTAAGAATAACTACTAGCAGCTATATATAAACAAATTGGAAACTCTAGAAGAAATGGATAATTTCTAGATACACATAATTTACCAAAAGGCATGAAGATTCAGAAAATCTAAATAGACCAATAACCAAGACAGAGATTGAATCAGTAATAAAGACCCTCCCAACAAAGAAAAGCCCAGGACTGGCTGTCTTCACTGCTGACTCCTACCAAGTTTTTAAAGAAGAAGCAATCCCAGTTCTTCGTAAACTATTCAATGCAATTGAAAGGAAGGAATCATCGCGAATTCCTTCTATGAAACCAGCACCACCTTAATTAGAAAACCAGAAAAAGATTAAAAAAAAAAGAAAATTGTAGATCAATAGTCCTGATTAATATACATGCAAAAATACTAAACAAAACACTAGCTAATTAAACCCAACACTTTAAAAAGAGATTAGATAATACCAAGTAAATTTTAAAATTATTTCATACAATAATTCTATGCAGTTCAATTTGACATTCATGGTGACTACTGATTGTTTTCTACGTGGCCAAATGAATTGTATTGTGCTCTGTTGCGAAATTCCATGGATTTTAAATATTAAGGAATATATATATATATATATACACACACAGACACACTCACAAATGTTTTACATCAATTCAAACTTTTTAACCTTGATTTAATCAATATTTTCCACTGGGTTGCTCTTTGTTAAGGAGTTAATTTGTTGATTGTATGCTTAATCATGTAGAACAAACATCTCCCAAGTCATGATAATCAAAAATATCTCCAGACATTGCCAATTATTCCCTGGAAATAAAATCAGCCTGGGTATAAAACTAATCTTTATTACACACTGAAGTAGAAAACTTTTAGATATATAGTGTTAAGTAGATATTAAAATTAATTTTGTCTGTTTCTGTTCTAATATAGCTACTAGAAAGTTTAAATATATATGACACATTGTATTGTTATTGAATTGCAATACTGCAACCATAATTTCAGTCTAAGTTATACACGCTAGAGCAGAGTTTCTCAAACTCTTAATAAAACTTGCCTGAGGTGCTTATAAAACTCAGACTGTTATTCAGTACATCAAAGGTTGGATGGAATTTTGTATTTCTAACAAGATCCTACTGTTTGGTAGGTTTTGCTAACCCTTGGATCAAATGTCACATAATTTAACTGTTCAGAACCTCCAACATATGTGTAAGTTTGACACTAGAAAATGTCAATATTCATTTCGGCATTTAGTTAAGCAGTTAAGATGCCACTTGGGTGACCACATCTCATATAGGAATCCTTTAGTTTGAGTCCCTTCTCTGCTTCAGACCCCGCTTCCTGCCGATGTACACCCTGAGAGGAAGCAGATGACGGTTCAAGGATTTGGGTCCCTGCTATCCATGTGGGAGTAATGGAATGAGTTTCAGGATCTAGGTCTTCAGTTGGCCCACACCAACTTTTGGCATTTGAGGAGTGAAACAGTGGATGAACGATTCTCTTCCCTCTCCCGCTCTCTTCCTTCCTAAATAATTACCTTTAAAACTGCCACTGTAACACTGTATATAATTATTTAAAATATACATAAATCCTTTTGACCATCAAAGTGAATATAGAAATTGTAACAAATCCACACTGTGCAATTACATAACGTGTGTGTATGTGCATATATATAAATAATTAGTGTAGATGAAAATTATCTATAGCTTACCTAGATAAATCTCTAAAACATGCTCAAGGTAAAAAAAAGTGTATTATGGTAAAATATATGAAATGTTTTAAAACTTGTAAAAGAATAGATTGCGGCCTGCGCCGCGGCTCACTAGGCTAATCCTCCGCCTAGCGGCGCCAGCACACCGGGTTCTAGTCCCGGTCGGGGCGCCGGATTCTGTCCCGGTTGCCCTTCTTCCGGGCCAGCTCTCTGCTGTGGCCAGGGAGTGCAGTGGAGGATGGCCCAGGTGCTTGGGCCCTGCACCCCATGGGAGACCAGGAGAAGCACCTGGCTCCTGGCTCCTGCCATCGGATCAGCACAGCGCGCCTGCCGCGGCGGCCATTGGAGGGTGAACCAACGGCAAAGGAAGACCTTTCTCTCTGTCTCTCTCTCTCACTGTCCACTCTGCCTGTCACAAAAAAAAAAAAAAAAAAAAAAAGAAAAGAAAAGAAAAGAAAAGAATAGATTGCCATGCCTCCATAAATATTTAGTAAATTTCTCAAAATTGTCAAATGTGATTCACAGGAATTTCATGATAGTTACTTCTGAAGAGTGCCAGATAAGATTGGGATGCTGGAGGTTTGTATACACTGGTATTAATAATGGGATCAAGATTTCATTTCTTTAGCACATAATGTAAAGGTAACCAGAGAAGAGATTTGGTAGAGCTGAATGGTGATATAGATATTCATCAGCATATTGCACATCTCTTACTATAGATTTAATATATTTCAAATGTTAAATTTTAAAAAATTCACCAATAAATCAAAGAATATTGTGAGAAGTCAAGCACATAGCATCAAAATATGTTAAGGAAATATGGAGTTTTCTAAGTATTTTTAAAAGACTTTTAAACAGTGCAGTTTCATTTCTTATGAAGAAAATGTGATCTGATAGAAATATATTTCTCCGTATACTTGTGATGCCAAAAATTCATCAATATGTAGAAAGGAGTAGAACTGCAAAATTGTGTACTACATATGTCATCTAAAATAGAGGAAAACAGATGTTTTCATTTTCTAAATATTTTATTCATTTATTTATTTGACAGAGTTAGACAGTGAGAAAGAGAGAGAGAAAAAGGTCTTCCTTCTGTTGGTTCACCCCCCAAATGGCCGCTACAGCCGGAGCTAAGCCGATCCAAAGCCAGGAGCCAGGTGATTCTTCCTGGTCTCCCATGTGGGTGCAGGAAGCACTTTGGCCATCCTCCACTGCCTTCCCGGGCCACAGCAGAGAGCTGGACTGGAAGAGGAGAACCCAGTGCCCATATGGGATTGCAGCGCCGTAGGCAGAGGATTAACCAAGTGAGCCATGGCACCAGCTAAATATTTATTTTGAATATATATTATTATAAAAGAAAGTCATATTTACTCAGCTTTGAAAAAATTTAGCAAGGAAAGTTATCCATTTCCTAAATGCCCATTGTAACTATTGCCCAATAATAGCCACTTTCATTCAACATTTTGATGTTTATTTCCTATTTAACATTCTTATATATATGAAAGATTTACAAAATACATACACATGCATAATTTACATATTCTTACAAGGTAAAATCAAACATAAACTGCACATCATCTCATAATTGATTTTTTTCACTTAAAAATTCTTCTTTGCTTTTAATTTCATTTTTATTTTAATTAATTTTAACAGATTCAATATGATTTATAGATACAAGTCTAAAAAATAATGATATTCCCTTCCTCCCTGCATTCCACCCTTCTATCTTCTGCCTTTATTTCTGTCTTGTTTTTTAGTTTTTGATATCATATATTTTAAATTTACATTTCATCAAAAGGTCTTAATACTTCACTAAGTAAAAAGTTAAACAAGTAAAAAGCAAAAAGACCCTAGTTTAGTAGGAATGTAGACAATGGCCATAAACAATAATTAAATGGAAAAATTACAAATGTTAAATTACATATGGACATGTCCTCTGTGCTTTCTTCTCCTGTCTCTCTTTTCAACATTCCCATTTGCATCTAGATACCACAACTGAACTATATACTTTTTGCTTTACTTTGTGTTTTCAACAATGTTCAGTGTCACTATCCATGCCCAAAGTTTGTAACAAAATATTTCCTAAATCAGACAGTTCCATTACTAAAATAAATGTTTGTATAATATATAAAATAACATTTTTCACTAGGAAAACCATCACTTGTAGGAATTGCAAGGTAATTAAATACATTTCTATAAATGTTTACAAATTCCTCTCTGTTATAAACAGGAATGATTACTTATTTATATAACTTTAAACAGTCACAAATTTCTTTAAAATACATTCCAATTAGGATGACCATGTTATTAAGGGTTTGATTTTATTGTCAAAGTATGAACAACATATGTCACAACAGTTATACATCAGCTGGTATATAAAACATGACAATTCATAGGGTCTGCTTTCCACTCCCAATTGTTCACCATTAAAGATGTGTTACTGATTTTTTTTAATTTTACTTTAAAAATAATCACTTTGATCAAATGTAGTGAATTTCAAATTCTTCTAGCCTTCCTTAAATATTATTGGTTAAATATCTGAAAAAACATATTTTACCTTTCTGGAAGTGACACTTGTTATCTATTAGAGATTTCTACTGGTATCTCAATAAAAGCTGGAAGAGAGAGAGTTGTATATGTGTTGCACATGTACACATTTTCCTATACATATTTCATGCAGGTTTTTTTAAATGTTTTTAATTTATTTGAGAGGGAGAAGAGAGACAGAGAGAGAAACAGTGAGAGCTCCCATTCACTAATTAACTCCCAAAATGCTAACAATGTCTGGGGCTGGGCCAGGACCAAAATCAGAAGCCAGGAATGCAATCCTAATATCCCACATGGGTGACAAGAACCCTATTACTTAAGTGATGATTCCTACCTCCCATTTGCATTTCTCAGGAAGCTGGAGTTAGAAGCCGAGCCAGAAATCAAATCCAGGTACTCTGAATGGGACTCAGGCTTCTTAACTGCTAGGCTAAAAGCCCACTCTACATGAAGTTTTGTTAACAAATTAAAATGTTAGAGAAGTACAGGTGAAAGGAATTATTTTGAAAAAAAATCTACAAATAGTAGACACTGTTAAAAATAAGAACAAAATGTATACTTCCAATAAATGGAAAAGTACAAAGCAAATAAATAATAGTTAAAAAATAAACAAATTAAAAGGTGAAGTATGCAGTTTAGAAAATAAAACTGATGCATTTAAGTTGTATCAAAAAATAAAAATCGGTTAAATATTTGTTTAAAGTAACTCAACAAATGTGTTGCTCCAAGTACCACCATCACCAGTTTCAGAGTAGTTAGTAGTGAACAAGACAAACATAAGACCATTGCTCATTACATTTAGTCTAATAGAGAGGATATTAAACCATAATAAAAGTAATGTGCATTACCACAGGAGAAGATGAATACCACACTTGCAAAGAGTTTTCTAAAGCAGATGCAGAAGCTCTTGAACGCATTAGCATGTATGTCATTTGTTCCTCATCAGCACTATCAGCCGCACAGCAGCCAATGCCATATTTAATTCTTAAATACCAAAAGGAACACTTTTAACATAAGAAATAAGACAATTATGATTGCTGTCACCAGTAAAAATTTTATACAAGTTTTCATCAAGACAAAAGAACAATTCCGTATACTATCTTAGGGGGGAAAACAGTGCAATAAAACATCACTTATTTCAGAGAATTAGGAAAAATGAAGAGCTTTATTAGCATTAACTCAATATCAAAGCATATTTTAAGGCTTTTGCCTTATTCCAGCTAGGTGAAAAAATATGGGTGAAATGCTGAACAAAGAGCTTTCAATCTAGTGAGTGACAACAGAAAAGAAATGGTTGCAGTATACCATGGTTAAGAGCAATACAATGAGTGAGCACAGTTTTATTGTAATAGCAGAGCCAACTAACTCCTTTCTAAGTGGTTCAAGAAAAGGCTTCCCAGAAATTAAGACAAAATAAAGGCCTCTAATAGGTAGACCGGAAGATCTTTGTAGACAGAAGAATTGATGATTTAAAATACAGAATGTAAGAGAGACCTTGGCACATTTTATGCATTGTAAAGAAATTAGTGTGGCAAAAACATTGAGTAGGAGACTACAAGAGGATAAGAGAAATGTTTTGAGATGTTATAATTCAATCATAAATGGAATTCAGTTTTTACCCACAAGACAATGGGCAGTGAATAAATGACTATAAGCAATGAATTCTCATGATAAAAGAGCTATCAAAAATAGTTGGCTTAGAGATAAGCAAACAATGAGAAAAGCAACCAGACATGACCCCTTGATGAATGGTGATCATAAACTGTTACAGGCAGTACAGTGGCGAAAGTACAATGAGGTGAAGATGTAAGTTGTAAATGTAAAAATGATTAAATCTTCCTTGGCTATATTGAGCTTGAGATACCTTTACCATGTTCCAATCAAATTTTCCAGAATGTACACTAGTGACCAGAAAGAGGTGTGATGGAGAAGCAGGACTGTGTGTGAATCATTAGTGTAAGAGATGCTAGTTATATCCTCAGGAATAGAAATGATCCCTTCAAGTGAGTAAATAAGATAACTCCCTTCTCTTCCCACTACCACTGGACCCAGTGGAACAAAAACAGATTTTCGAACATTCTTTTATTATACCATTTGGTTGTGTAGGTAGAAGTAATGAACAGGTGACTTCAGAGTCCATGACTGACATATAGGCATAATCAACACGAAATTGGATTATTTGTTTCAGTTGGTTGTTCCCTTCTCAGATTTGTCAACTAAGGTTGAATAAATCATTGGATAGAAGATTTTCCCTTGGAGAACATAACTGAAAAGATTATCTGAATGTTGAACATGATCTGAATTTTCTTTAGAGATAGGGAAGCATATTAGCAACAGTTAGCTTAAGGATACTTTCGTCATCATGTCTAATGAGGAAGGAGAAGAACAATGAGCTAAATACTGTTCATAGCAAGACAAGTGGGCATTTCTGGTCTGTGGCCAACTATATATTCATTCAATAATAATTATGTAGTGGGTACCATAAACAAGGCATTCAATCATAAAGTTAAATTCAGCTTTTGACTTCAGGGAGAGCATAACCTATTTAACCAGAAAACACACTTGAAGGTAATAGTTCCTCATTAATGGGTGTTTCATCAACTAAAATGCAGAGTCACATTTAGTTCTAACTAAGTATATTAGTAAACATGATAGAAAATCAAACGCTAGTTTCAAAGAACTAAGAGGTATTGCTTTCAGAGAGACAAAATGTTAATTTAATCAGGATTTCTCATTTTGGAGCTTTGTATGGAAAAATTTGAGTAGTATGTTTGACCCCTTTTTTCTTTTTCCTTTGTTGCTATGCCTCACAGGTTTCTTTTTGGGAGGTGGTGGTTGATTTTGATTTCGTTTTCCAGGATGTGGTTGGTGATCTTTACTACGTATAAACTCAAGCCAAGAGACCCCTGGAGGCAACCTGTGGTAGCTAAGTACCTTAGTGAGTCCATAACGTGAGTGGGTAGGTTTGCTAGAATGTTTGGAAGGAGAAGGTGAGAAGGGCAAGGCAGAAGAGGAAGAAGAGGAAGAGGAGGAAGAGGAAGAGGCAGAAGAGGAGGGGGAAGAGCCTGAGGAGGAAGAAGAGGAGGAGGAAGAAGAAGAAGGCCTTGGGAGCTGGGATTGTGGCTGAGAATTACTTTTTTTAACATAAAAGAGCCAGTCCACAGCCTGTGGCTGTTGGTTTATAGTTTTGTTTTCAAGGGCTAATGTCAACCATTTTTTCTTCATATTAAGGCCCTGGAGGATATCAGATTCAGATGTGGGGAAAATCTCTGGTATTTTCTCCATTCCTTCAAGGTTGTCATCAGGTGCTTCATCAGACTGATTTTCTTTCATAGAGGATGAGAGACCAGAAGAGAAGGGAGCCTCGGGTATAGAAAGAATAAGAACCAATTTCACCTCTATTGTTCCCTCAGTATTAGTCTCAGGTGTTGGAATGACAAAGAGTGTTGCACAACGAGGGTCTTTTTTTCCTGTAAGATGTTCACACTGAGATTTTATGCAGGAAGCACAAGATAAACAAACCATGTAAGTTGTTGAAAGGCGGGGGCCAGGACGAGGATTTGGCCTTCCCCTCATCCTTCGAAACAGTATCTGCCTACAGAGATCCCTCTGGATTTTGGACTTGGAGATAGAATTGACAATTTTATTTACAACATCATCAGGGACTGTTCCACCTTTAACAATGCAGGGCTGGCTGCAGTCTAAGGTCCACAGAATTTCTTTATTTGATTCTGTATTTGCACAAAAATCAAAACTGCTTTTATTCTGGAGTCTGCGACTCAGTGTTGAAGAAGATATGTTCCTGATGCAATATTTGGAGTTTGGTAATAATTGACCTGAGACATTTGGCTTGAGCGGAGGTGATGGCAGATCTGTGGCTCCATGTTTGTCATTTGGTAAAGTGGTGTCCTGAAATTTGGAGTGAAAAAATGGTGAGCTGAAAGTCCGAAAGTTACGATCAAGGGCAACTGTTTTCTGAGATTTTGACTGGAACAATGGTAAACTCTGAGACTGGTGGATGGAATGTGATAATGGTTTTCTTAATTTGGAATGGGACAATGGTAAACTCAGAACATTGGGATCAGAGATCACTAAAGGTTTTTTTGAAAGTCTGGAATCAGGTAACAGTGAACTCATAGTTCTTTGATTGATCTCCAAAGAAGGTGATGTTCGAAGGTACTCATTTGTTTGGGATTTGATGCTCAGTGCTGGTGAACTCAAAGATCTTTGGTTGTGTTCCAATAAAGATGCCCAAAGGCCATCTAATGAAGAAGTTTTCTGAGATTTAGATTGAAGCAATGTTGAGCTGAAGGCTCTTTGATTGGGTCCCAAAGTAGACGGTGTCCAGACATTGTTGAATGAAGGTGATTCTTGATTTTGGAGGTGAGATAATGATGAACTGGAAACTCTTTGATTAGACTTCAATAAAGGTGATGTCCAACAAAGATCTAGATTTGAAGATGCACTCTGAAACCTGGGAAAAGGTAATTGTGACCTCAGGGCTGTTTGACTGAGCTCCTGGGATGGTGGTGTCTTGTTGAAGTCTGATGAAGGTGTTGTCTGAGGTTTAGGGTGGGATAAATGTGAGTTGAGGGCTCTAGAAGTTGGCCGCAGGGGACTTCTCCAGTGAAAGTCTAGTGCAGGTGTGGGCTGATATTTGGGGTGAGGTAATGGTGATTTCATGGCCCTGTTATAGAAGCCTTGTGAAATCGTGACCTGAGACTTGGAAGAAGGCAATATTGAACACTCATGAACTTTCTTGCTAGAGTTTAATGAAGGTACTGAAAGGTGACTGCTAAGAGATTGCGTTTTGGCTACAGGTTGGTTATTGATTTGATTTAGTTTTTCACCTGTGTATTCATATGTTAATGAATTGTCTGTGGTCAGCTGGCAAGAATGGTCTAAAGGCACAGACTGTTGATCATAATATGCTAATGGCACCATCTTGTGAGGTAGTAGGGTTTTTAAAAAGCAGTTGACTGATTCTGATGTTTTAGTAACTGTTATTCTTTTAGCTGAATTCCATGGACAATGGATACTTTCAAATAAATATCACTTGGTAGTTTCTCATTTCTATCTTGTAACTTTTCTGTTAGTTCCCAAATACTGTATCTCGAAATTAAGGTATAGATGACATTAGAAAAAAAGTCACCATTTGAGTCACCTTTCTTCTCTTTAGTTTCCAAGAGTTGTTTCCTCTTGAGTAAATAATGCCTGTTAACAAAATAGTGAAGAGTGTTCAAAACATGTACAGAGAGGGATGCTAATTTTTTAAATAATTTGTTTTTATGATTATAGTACAGGCCTATGTCAAATTCCAGCAACTATATATATAGTCACATAGTGTATAATTTCACATATCATTTGAGTTAGACTTTCTAAACCCACTAGCCCATCTATAAAACAGATAAATGTAATATTCAATTTACTAGGCCAAACACTAAACAAAATAATTCATATGAAGTATCTAGCAATTCTGCTCAATAAAATGTGGTAGCTATCACTAGTATTCTTTTAACTACTGAGTTTGTAAAGAGAATCTGTGGTAAGTTTATAGCATCCGGAGCGATAGGAGAGTGGCAAGATGGCGGAATAGGAAGGAAGCACACTGATAGTCTGGGAAGAGACAGTTTAATAAAAGTGGAGGTACTGCAGGTTCAAGGAAGAGTAGGGGAAGAAACAGCAGAGGAAACTCCTCTGGAACTAGTGATTCACAGTGGACCTGTGTGGAGGGCGTGGGAGCCCACGGCTCAGGACACCAGCGGCAGAATCAACACAACAGCGCTGGAACACGTGGTGAGCTGAACCTCAATAGCCCGAGACACCAGCGGGCAAGCGGAAAGAGGAGACTACAGGGAATGAGGCTTAAAACCCCATGGGAAAAAGTTCACCAGGCTAACTAGAAGAGAGAGGAAAAAAAAAAGTGACCTGTATGGACACAAGTCTCTCTCCGCTCACCTCTCAAAGGTGAGCAAGACAAAGAGCAGGCACCATTTTGGACACACATAATAAGCAGCATGACCTCAGGGCTACACCAGCCCTCAGCAAGCAGAAAAACCTGACTCTGGGG